GACATGAAATAAAGGGCAATATCATTTAGCACAGCTTTTTTTATAACATCTGCCTATACATGTCAATGTGTTTTCACTGAGATTCAGAATGCATTCGCTCAGCATCTAAACTTCATGATCACAGCATTAAAGTTGTTCTGCTAATATTCAGCCCTTTTGTGATGTAATGTACAGCTGACTGTTTAAGACTGCATCTGTTATGTGCTAGCTCATCACGTCTCTACCTAATAAGACCTTGTGCTGATGTCAAATGATAAAAACCTCTATATGTGCTTTCTATGCATTTATTCATGGCCAACCCCAATGATCTATAAAACTGATAAATGGAAACCAGTGCATGAATGAAAACATAAAAATGATACCTAGTGACTGTTAATGAACAGCAAGGCACAATGAGAGGTGGAAACAGCAATCAGTAATAAGACGACCCCCTCTGTAGGCTCAACGTAACATGGGATTTCATACATTTCAACACACTGAGAGATGAATTCACTAAGCAGTTGCGCCACATTTTTTGTGAGGTATTTTTGCATCAGAAACTTTATTCACTAACAAACCATAATCCAGATTAATCAGGTACTATTTACATTGGTATAGTGCTGTTTTGTATATTAGGTTATATTAGTGGTACATACTGTTTGCCCCAGTTGTAAATATCAACAAAAATCATATTTTTTACATTAAGGGCAAATATAAGTGATATTTGTAAATGTCTGAGCAAAGAGTTTAGGTGTGGTCACATTAGTGAAATTTCAGATAACTTTTGCAGACAAAAAGGTCCATTATCTATTGTCAATAGTGTAGCAATTTATGAAGCACTGCTCACATGGAAGTCACTTTTAAACCAGCTTAAAGCAGGTTTTTGTTGAAATCACATGACCAGCTTGAACCCAATGCAAAATCTGTGTTAGGAAAATCTTTCACCTTTACGCAAAATTCTAAATTGCTTGATTTCAAATTCAAAAATTCACCGAACTATAAATGTGACAATATCTTTAGTGAAATTAGCCTTAGCCAACACGATTGACTATTTGTACATAGTGTAAATAGATATTAGCTTTAAATTATTATATTTTCTGTGCAAACAGGCCTGATTTACGATGTACATTAAGATGCATTCACACTAAGTTTGATCAGGTGAAAGTTACAGACACTGTAATTCATATCAGCAACATCAGGACATGATGTCACACTCTAATGTTTCTGTTTTTAATAAATAATAATATATATATATAAAAAAAAAAATAATGCATTCAAAATGTTAAAATATACTGCCCTACACTTTCCTGCAACGCTGCAAACCATGAGTCAAGAGATCATTCTGTAACATCTTCTATTGGTCAGAATTTTTTTTTGTGAAGCAAATTTAGAGGCCAAAGCTAAATTTTCTCCAAATCAAAATCTGATACGTAAGACAACACCTTTTCCTCATGTGTTTCACTCACATTTAAATGTATAGGAATGGAAATGAATGAAGCACCAGTGACCAAGCATGTGTGAGTAAGGATAGTGTGACTGCATCTTAAGGCTTATCATAGATTGCTTCATATTCACAAAATCCTGCAGTATTTGCCTACTGCAGTTAAAACTGTGTACATTTTATATAAATCACGGGAGCAGTACTAATTCATCAAATGCGTCTGCTGTATTCTATATTGTGCAAATTGTGTTTACCTTTGGTGCTGAAACAATGCTAATAAACTAATCAGTGGGCGCAATTGTTTCTTAGTGAATTCTCTCCCAATTGTTAACCTAGATTATTTCCCACATGCCTGATTTCTATATCACAATGGCCGATTTCATATGTAAGATTATGCAGTCAGACAAAAGCCCTGGAATCTAGCTGTGCAGGTCTTTTTAGCTACACGGCGAATCTTGACATTATCTGCACTAATCCATTTCTGCAGTGTTTGGAGATTTCAGAGGGAAAGGTATTCACTATGTGATTTAATTCCAAGAAACGTGCCCCCCGGTGAGTGATCCTTTAGTGCGCTCTGAGTCATGAGGTGACCTGCAGTGAGACACTCAGGTTTAATAGATGTTGAGTGGACTCAGTGACTGACAGACCAGCGGCCATTATGTCAGTCTTAAGTACTGATTTGTCGTGGGCTGTTTGGCAGTGACGCACAAAGACAGTATTCAATGGTATGAAGAAGACAAGCAGCTAAACTGGAGGCAGGGCTTGTATTATTTTGCAGGAGTGTTTTTTTTTTCTTTAGAGTGAATTCTTAGGACAGCAGAGGCCGAAACTGGACACAGTACTGATATTGCTATGTTGTTAAATCTTGACAGAGATTTTTATTTCTCATCATAAATAATCAATCCCAAATTTACATGCAACATGATTTGGATTCCAACTTATCTGCAAATCTTAAAATGTTTTATTAATATGTGGCTTGGGTGGTCACACTAGATTTAAGGAATTATTTCAATTCTGCAATGAATATGGGCAAACGGATATGATGAAGTGCTCCAGGTCCTCAGTTTGGAATAAAATTTAAAAAAAATAATAATATCTGAATTTTCCCAAACTTGATGGAATTTTCAACGTTTTAAATTGTTAATTTAAATTTTATTATTTAACTAACAAAGGAGGTTTCTGTAGCTGACTTGCTGCTCTAATAGGGGGTGATAATTCATTCTTGTTGTGCTTTAAAACATTTAAATGTGCAGTAGAAGACATACCACACCTAAAAATTCACTAGCTGACAGAAATCACTTAAACAGCTGTCCTGAGAAGTTGCCACCGTCTCTGTGGCAGCCTTTCACCCTAAGAAAAATATGTTAAAATACAACCCAATGCTCTCTGTATTGATTTTTTTTTCACAGGTGTTTTACCCGTATTTTGAATTGCACATTGCAGTGTGTTGTTGCAGTGGGTAGAAAGTAATGTCCACATTTTTGAGTTGAGTAGATGTGTTTGTTTCTTCATCAGAACAGAAATGTAGTATTGCATCACTTGCTCACCAACGGATCCTCTGCAGTGAATGGGTGCCGTCAGAATGACAGACAAAACAGCTGATAAAAACATCACAATAATCCACAAGTAAGCTACAAGACTCCAGGCAATCAATTACCGTCTTATAAAGTGAAAAGCATACACAAATCCATCATTAAACCATTTTATCTGTACACTGTCGCTTTAGGCTACAATACCCATAGAGTCCATAATCCATAATAATGCTTCCTTCAGTGAAAAAGTCTATCCCCTGTTGTCCTCTCATATCAAAATCTTATAAACACTTATAAATAGTGCTTGATCAGAGCATATTTCCTGATTTCTGGAGAAAGCAGTATTTGTTTCTTGCACTTAACATTTAGCTTTTCATTTCACAAGATGATAATTGATGGACTCCAGTCGTGTGGATTACTTGTGGATTAATGTGAAGGAATTATTTTTTTATTTTTTTTTAGCTGTTTAGACTATTTCTGACGGTGCCCATTCACTGTGGATGATCCATTGGTGAGCAAGTGATGTCATTCTAAACATCTCCAAATCTGTTAAGATGATGAACAAACTCATCTACTGTACATCTTGGATGGCCTGAGGTGAGAACATTTTCAGCAAATTTTCATTTTTGGTTGAACTATTCCTTTACCTTAAAGTTGAAGAGTGCAATTTCTGTGCCACTAGCAGCAGGTCAGTCAGTGACATTTAGATCCTCTAATGGTCAAACATCACTGTTCAGTTTTGCAGGTCAGAGTTCACCAAACTTAAAAACAGCAGAATACAAACACAAAATCTAGTGCGACCACCCCTTAAGTTTACTATACTGTAAAAACTGATAATGGGTTTCCTACTTGTGAAATAAGAGTGTGTGACACTGCAGAAATCTGTACTACTAGATATGTAAATGCAATTTTTTCGAAATTTTTTTTCACTATGAATTAGCCTGATAATTTGCCGATTTAGGTGAGTAAATGATTTAGGTCAAAAACATTTTAAGTGTACTGAGATAAAGCCACTTGTTTCACAGCAATTAAAGTTTATGTGACCCACATTATTCACAACCAGATACTTGGAATAATTTGGATGTGGATGACAAAACGCTCAGTTTTCAAAACCGAATGCAGCCTTTTGCCCTTATGCTAATTGAAATGGTTCACATTATGATGCTAAAGACAAAAGAAACTACTGAATCAGTTTTCAATACCAAAAATACTTGGAATGCAACAATGGCAGTGATGTAACCATCTTGTTCAGTATCAGAATTACCATTCATTTTTATCATACCTAACATTGAAAAGTAATGAATGTCTATCATTAACCCTACGGTACTTCCTTTGTCTACAGTCTACAGTTGCACTAAAAGATAGGACCATACAATATGTGAACACATCAGAGAAAAATGGCAAAACAGAAGGGAAAATGTGTATTTTAGAACACTGACAATCAACATTTTCTACTGAAATATGACAGCCGTAAACAATAGATTTGTTTATATTTTATGCATCTTTGTTATTGAAGAAACACCATGTGCTCGCTGAAAAGCACAAGAGCTCTTATATAATGAGTTCTTCTGTTGGAAAGGCACAAGCCCAGTGTTTGTCAGGATATAGAGTGTTACATTGCTACAGGAGGTTTTTGGTGCACACGCTCTGGAAAGTCTTGAGTGTTGAGATGAGAAGAGCTAGAGACAAGATTGTCCTCACATCATCTTTAATCTTCCAGACCGATGTTCTCTGTTTATCCGAGGAAGCTTTTGACATTTTATGTCCTTGGTAATATTCTGTTTTGTACAAGGACAGTGTACCTTGAGCGACTTTCTCACAAGCTTTCAGGTTGTTGCGAAACATGACAGTGGTCCCATCTAGTACGTTTGATTGCATTGATTGTTTAGGGTTTGAATGTGTCCTCATCTCTTTGACGGATGGCCTTGTGACAAACTCATCACTGCAGGTCAGATTATTCATTTGTGACGGAATGGACACAGAAAGAGTTCCTTTGAACAACATTACGTTTTCCCGTTCAAATGAGGCCAATGCACACCTGTTCCATGCAGATCTTGAGCCAGACCGCTCGGTCAATCCTTCCAGCAGGACGGGGTCCTAATCCACACTTCTTCCTCTATCAGGCTTCCTTTATTATCCTCATTCTCCGATCCACGCATCCACTCAGGCCTGGGCTCGATAAACCCGGTGTTGCAGCCCCGTTCACACGGTCACCTCAGTCTTGCTGTTAGTGACAAAATATGGATGTGGTGGTAGGTAGTGCTGGCTGTAGGCGGATGTCAGCATGTTCACTTGGTCCACGGTGGCGCTGTGCTTCTTGGGGGCGTACGTGTGCCGGTGACCCAGCGTTTCTGTCATCTCCCAGCCCTTCAGCATGCCGGGATTGGCAATGGTGTTCGAGCCAAAAGCAAGCGGGTGGGAACTGTGGACCTTGGTGCTTTTAGACTTGTGTCCATTCTGCTTTTGGCAGGGCAACTCGGGGCTGTAAGGGTTGGTGGGCTCCTGCTCCAGACTCACCGAGTGCATAGGAAGAGTGCCTTTCGCTGCCAGGTCGGCTAGGTGCCGTCTGTTAGTGTAGAAGTTTTCATTTGCTTTTTCAGCTGGAAAAGACAGATAGAAGAGCAAAAGTGAGGAAAATTCAATAACACTTCATTAGTCAGATGCAAAAAACCACCTGATTGCTGATTTGAGTTTTTTTCTCCCCTCATAAGTACCAGATAATTACACATTTAATAGATCATAGGTTATCACTTGTTTTTCCCAAATGATCTATTTTTTTCTCTGAAAATACTTGACACAACCATTTCCTCCTACAAAAAAAAAACTAACAAACAAACAAAAAAAACCTGGATGTTTCTGTAGAGAAACAGTTCACATTTTGCCATCATTTATTGACCACCATGTCATTCTAAACCAGTTATTTTTTACAAGAAAATGTTTTTTGAATGCAAATTAGTCTGGATTGCTTCCATCATTAAAATGGAAATATGCAGCTTTTTGCTCTTCCAGAGATAGTTAGGAATTTTATCTGTCTGGTGAAACCACAATTTTGAATATGTAGTTATTGTGCACTTAAAAAAAATCTAACAGTCACTTCGCAACTGTTATTATTGTAAATGTTATTTTTGACAATATGGGTTTACAGGCAACAAATTCAGCTGCATCACCATTGACATTCAAACAGCACCCAACAGCTTCCTTGCAAAGGAGTAAACATTTTCAACCAGTGTTAGTCGATCGTTGACAGCGTGAAACACAACTTGCTAAGACCAGATCAGACAACCGAGTATAAACGATTCTAATGTGCTTACAGACGGTGTCACTAATCATTTCTTTTTTTTTTTTTTGTGGTACAGCATTTTTCATAACATCCATGCAATGTTGCTAACGGTGTATCACCTTCCAACTCAGCCAGGCCTTAATTGGGACTGACTACACTCTGCTTGAAGTCCTCCTCATTTCAGCATGACATTTTAAACTTTTTAATTAAATATCCTTCAGGTGACCTTTTTAACAGCCTTGCACCCCAATGAGTCGCAGTAAACCGCAGATCTAAAACCTCATACCAGGAGGCCGACCGCAAAATAAGACAGCCGGACGAGAGAAGAGCTAATCTCTGATGCGACTCTTTCATTGACATCAATACGCTGATATTAACGCACATCAGAGGAAGGTAGCGCACTGAGCTCAAACGTTTCAGCTCCCCAGCTGTGGCTTGTCTCCTGGGCCTGTCTCTAACAAACTGTCCTTTTTTTGTTTTCCTAGTGATCAGTCTGCACAGACAGCACTTCAGTGGATTAACAACTGTGTTAACATGTTAACATCTGTGGCTGAAAGTCTCAGAGAATCACTGTCATCACACGTTGCTGCTTCGACTGGTTGTTTGTCTGCTGTTTGCTGTCATCTCACTGAAGTCTTTTGATAGGCTTCACTCCGTTGCCAAACTAATTGATGTGAAAGTAAAAAGTGGCTATGTTACTACCCAATGTTACCACTGTAAAACACTAGTGATGGGTGCTTTTGAAGCACTGCTTCGTGAAGCTTCGAAACCTTTGCGAATCATTTGTTTCAAAACAGTGCTTCGTAGCACGTATCAAACTGCCAAAGTCACGTGATTTCAGTAAACGAGGCTTTGTTACATCATAACTGTTTTGAAACATTTCAAAATCTCAATGGTTTGCCGTTGGGGGGCGATGATCCCTGTGAACCCGTGAGTCATGCAATTTTATTGAGATCGCCCCCCAGCGGCGAACCATTGAACCACCGTCTATTATTTTTACCTGATCTCAGATCAGTTTGATCGATTTGTAGACATTTTTAATGAGACATCTGTGTAATTAAAAGGATGAGTAGTAGTTAATAGTCTCTTATTGCCCTGTTTAGAGAAGCTCTCCATAAAACAAACAAAACAAGCCCTGCAAATAATAATTATTAAAAAAAAACACATATTATACAGGCACTTCATATTTAATGGTATTTTATTATTTAATGCATTATACTTTCAATAAAACATTTGCAATGGGTTTGTAAAAATGTTATTTGTAAAATGTTTTTATGTATGTTTTGGGCTGAGTTTTTGTTGTATTTACACAGTTTTGACCAGCAGGGGGGTATTCCAGAAAGCAGATTATGTGACATACCCAGGTATGTTTGGGAGTAAGTAAGTGGATAACCCCAGCTTTCGGTTCCAAAAATGGAGGTAACTTTCAGGGTATGTAAGTAAGTAGTCATAGCAACTTACTCTCTAAACATAACCTGCTCCCGAGCAGGTTCTGTTTCAGGGTTAGTTTACTTCAGAGTTATCAGCGCATGCGTGACCTATTGACCAGACTCCATTGGGCGTGGCAGATTGTGCACAATATTATATATGATTACAATATAGCTATCAAATATATGTTATATATATATATATATATATATATATATAGTTGTATGATACAGTATGTTGATTATAAAGCACTATTATAACAAGGTAATGTTTATTTTCTTCTAATATATTTATTTATTTTATTGTCATCTCACACATCATGGATCAGCATTTTCTATAATGTATTTCTATAATAACAATACATATGTGATATTTCCTATTATATAATTAGCATCAAACAAACTATAATTTTTATTCTCAGTGATTAAAAGATTAAACGGGAAAAAAAAGATTGATGCACAACCATCAATTAGGTGGTGATATGCACTAAGTATGTAGATGATCATTGAACAAAAGAAGAAGAAAGAAGCAGCACGCTTTTTCTTAGCATCCATTGGTCGGAAATCATGTTTTTTCCATTGTGACTCGTCGATTCGTCGCTCCGTTGAGAATGTCTTGTGTGTTAACCGTGAACATACTCTGAGGTGAATGAACTTACTCCCGGGCGTGTTTTTGGAACCAGCATACCTCAAGTAAGCAAGGTTTGGGTTAATCAACCGAGAGTTCAGGGTATATGTGACGGTAAGTTAACCTTGCTTTCTGGAATACCCCCCAGGCGTCACCAGCGTGTGGTGTTTCGAGTGCTTCGAAACAGTGAATCATTTTCCAAAGCAATTGGTTCAGTTGATTCGAAGCTTCGAAAAGGTTTGTTTCTCCCATAACTATAAAACAGAACTTAAATAATTACATTATTAATTAAGTAAAATAAAAGAATCCTTCAAGAATCCTTCTTGCATATTTATTTATTTACAGTGCGGAGTAAATTACTTAAAAAAATAAGTCTGTTACTGATTACAAATTACTTAACAACAGTTGCAGTTAGTAACCTAATCTATTAGATTACACATATTTAGGTAATGTATTCTGACTTATTTTTAATTACTTTTAGATTATTTTTGGCATACTTGTCACGCCGATTTTTGGGTTTTGTTTCTTATTTAGGTTTTCTTGTCTTTTATTTTGTGTTCTCTTGTCATTGTCATGTGTTTCCCTGACACTGTCATGTGATCCTGCTATTGGTTCCTTTGTTCTATGTGTCATGTTCTCATTGGCTGGATTGTGTCATGTGACCCCCTTTGCTTGATTTATATAGCCCTCATGTTGCCATTGTCCAGTGTCTAGCTTTGTTCCGTGTACCACTGTTGGTGAGTTTGCCATGTTTTTCTAAGCCATGTTTTGCCAAATTCCTGTTTATTTTGTGTCTGCACATGTTTGGGATTAAACTGCACTTGGGTTCTCACTACACTCGCCAACACCAGTGGAATTTGTTACACATGTATATCATATAATTTTGAATATGAATATTTGTGCCATTTTGATATAAAAATACAAAGAGAAAAAAATATATATTTTATTCTTTATTATCAACAATGTCAGGGTTTTTCCAAACTGGGATTTGTGAAGGAACTGTAGGGGTGAGTTAATTAAATCATAAAATCTAGCTCATTAAAATCTAATTAATTAAAGGTCACATATTATACAACTTTCTGGAGTTTTATTTTAGGTTTTGATGTCCTTAAGAATATATATTTGCGGTATAAGTACCAAAAACCATCTAAATATATTTTTACAGCTCCTTTCTCAGGAGCTCTGCTTAGAACAGGTCGATTTTGGCCTGTCTAATTAATATGCATGAGCCTCTTTTCTGATTGGCCTGCTGTTTTCTGAGTGACGCACGGCCAGGCCAACCACGGGTAACTAGGGTCATGTATGCTGTAGCCTGCTATGGCACATAGAAAAATAGAAACACCTGTAATGATGGCCACTGCTGAGGGAAATGTTTTCCGGCCTTACATGTTTGAGCCGAACTCAGACCCCAAATCGGTGACGACAGGCGACAACCAACCACCTCCTCAAACGTGCTTACAACAGGATGTTTCAGAATGATAATTATTTGATTTGATTTTTTTCAAAAACCGAATGCAGTAATCTACTTAACTATTGCTTTCCTACTGATACAACACGTCAGCATCAAGTTAGCAACAC